TCGGGTCTGGGCCCCCCCCCCCCCCTTTGGCGCTGGAAAGGGGCGGGGGGCGGGGTTCGACCAACCCTCCCCCCTTTGCGCCGAACAGGGGGCTGGGGAGGGAGCCTCTCGGGTAGTGAATATTGAGTAGCGATTGGTGAGTAGTGAGTAGTGCGCAGTGAGTAGTGCGCAGTGAGTCGTGAGTAGTGAGTAGTGAATAGTGGGTAATGGGTAGTGCTAGTAGTGAGTAGTGCGTAGAGGTTAGTGTGGGTAGTGAGTAGTTGGAAGGAAGTAGAGAGTAAGGAATTATGAATAGTGGTTAGTGAGGAGTGAGTCGTGTGGAAAGAGTAGTGCGTAGTAAGTAGTTCGCAGGGAGTAGGGATGAGAGAGTAGACAGTAGCTAATAGCGAGGAGTGAGTAGTGAGTAGTGAGTAGTGAGTAGTGCGCAATGAGTAGAGACTAGTGAGTAGTGAGTGGTGAGTAGCGAGTAGCGAGTAGCGAGTAGGGACTAGCGAGTAGGGGGTAGCGAGTAGTCAGTAGTGAGGAGAGAGTAGGGCCTTGTGGGTATTGGGTAGTGAGGAGGGAGTAGTCAGGAGTCAGTAGTGAGTAGATAGTAGGGAGTAATGCGTAGCGATCGGGGGGTAGCGAGTAGTGAGTAGTGAGTAGTGAGTAGTGAGTAGTGAGTAGTGAGTAGGGAGTCGTGGGTAGTGAGTAGTGAGTCGTGAGAAGCGAAAAATGGGTATTGAGTAGTGGGTAGTGAGTAGGGAGTGGGGAATTAGTAGGTAGTGGCTAGTGAGTCGTGAGCAGTAGTGAGTAGTGTTTCGTGAGTAGCGACCTGCGTCAGGTGACTAGTGAGTAGGGAGTAGGGAGTAGTGTGTAGCGAGTAGTGCGTAGTGGGTAGTGAATATTTCCTTTTGGGTAGCGAGTAGCGGATAGTGAATAGTGAGTCGTGGGCAGTGCGTAGTGAGTGGTGAACTGTGAATACTCAGTAGAAAGTCGTGGATAGTGGTGAGTGGGTAGTGAGTAGTGCTGAGTGAGTAGTGAGTTGTGTTTAGTGAGTAGTGAGTATTGAGTACTGGGTAGTGAGTAGTGAGTAGTGAATAGTGCGTTTTCCCTTTGCTTGGGGTCATTCAGCGGCGCGCCCTCTTTTCTCGCTCCTCTGCGAGCACTCCGTATGCCTGAGCGCCGACTGGGAGAAGTCCTTCGGCCAAATCAGCAGGGCGATCGGGGCCGAGCTCCTCCGCGAGCACATGGCTCACGACAGCGCCACTCCAGCAGCGCGACAGCACCTCGGCGCCGGGGGGCGACTTTTGACGGAGGCCCGCTATCGGTTCAAGCTCGGGCGCGCCGTCGAGAGGCCGCGTCCACCGCGCGAGCAGGAGGCTGCTTTCAGGGGCCGAACTACAGCGTGCAGGCGTCATCCGCCACGATAGCAGTATGGGGCCGCTCACTAGCCACCGTCACCACCTGCTCCGCAGCAGGGTTCATTGACGACTCCAGCATCCACGAGCGCAGCCCAGACGCCGACGAAGCAGTGCGACAGGCGCGCCTCTCCTGGGAAGCATGTCTCAACTTCGGTAAGGGGGCGGGATGCAAGCTAAACGCCATCGAGACCAAGGCTCTCGCCAACGCGACGACGGTCGGGGCCAGAGTAGAACGCGAGTTTCGGTGCATCTAGCTGAAGTGCTCTCGCGCGATCATCGCGGTGGGCGGCGTTCTTTCCGACGGGGCCGACGCGTCTTTGATCGCCAGGAACCGACCCGCCTTTCGCCGCGTCGACAAAGTCAACAATGTGTTCACGAGAATAGATCGGGGACCAGTCTCATTTGATTCTCGAGACCGCTACTTGACAGTATGCGCATCCCCTGCGGGGTACTACGGCAGCGAACGGCATCTCTGCAGCACTACCACGCTGCAACACATGGCAGCGCGAGTACATCGTGCCCTCTTTGCAGGTAAGACAATGTACAAGACGCGCATCACCGCGATGTCGCTGGTGGCCCACGGACACCTCGTCGACCCGTGGTCAGCTTCGCGATGCTGTGCCGTGGTGGTGATCCGACGTCTCTTGCAGAAGCGAGTAGCATTGCGCCAGGCCTTCCACGGCGTGCCAGCGGCATCCGACCAACAGAGCGGCGATGCACGGCCCCGTGCAATTTTCCCGACAGACCCTGAAGGACCTCAGATGAAGGTGCGACGACCAGCTCGCCATCGCGAGAGCATTTGGGGGAAAGATGCACCTTCTCGACTCCGACGATCTTCCTTTTCGTCACCTGCTGCGAGCCGACCTTCGCAAAGCAGCGTGGAAGACAGGCTTCAATGCGCGCGCCAGCGCGCGCGCGAGCACTTACGCGGCGAGTGCGACGGCCCAGCGCAGGGTCTCGACTACGAGGCCACAGTCAAGCAGCACCGCAAGCGTCGCAGGAAGGACTGGCGACCACCGGTGCAAGACACACCAGGAGGCGACATCTTGGGGAAGCGCAAGTGGTTATTCTAGCGACGAGCAGCACGCCGTGTACTGTGGTCGGTGTGCTTGCTCGCATCCACCAAGCTTCGCAAGGCAGGTCGCATGGCGACTGACACCTGCCCCACTGCACACATCAGCTACGAGAGACGCTACGGCATGCACTCTCAGGAACCCGAAGGACACGCAACGGCGAGACGTTGGCTCTGCGACAAGTGCGACCAGCAGATCATGGAACGCGCCCCCGAAGTCACTCGGCTGACGGGGCTTATCTTGGGCGACAGCGACCTCGGCACCAAGTTCGCGGAGATCGCGAGCGGGCTTAACTACGACGCAGACCCAGCACCGCCACATTTCTGGCTTCGGACGACGCGATGTCATTCGACAGCGAGGGATTTGTTGGTCGTGGCAGGTGACTGTGCAGCGCCCTCGAGCCAGGCAGATTTACGACTGGACTGTCGCATTCGGAAGCGCTGCGGAACTATTGCGCGGGACCATGCATAACGCCCAACGCGCCGAAGTACGAGCAGCTCTACGGTGGGCCGCCTGGGCTTGGGCGCGGCAGGTATGCGTTGTCGATGGCGAATGTGTTGCCAGGGGCTTGCGTGCGATTATCCCGCGGAAGAAACATCAACTTCCGATCTCGTCTCGACTTGTGGTGACGTGTCTGGGCGGCCATAAAAGCGGAAGGAGAGGAAACAAAATCCGGAATGTTCGCAGCCACCAGACCCAGGCGCGCCGCCGATTTCGGTGGCCGGCCCGGGTGCCTGGGTGCTTGGGCGCCATAGTGCCCAGGTGCCCGGGTGCCCGGGTGCCCTATATCCCTATAGCCCTATGGCCCTATAGCCGTAGAGCCCTATGGCCCTGTAGACTTAAAGCCCTCTAGCCCTATAGCCCTATAGCCCTAATAGCCGTATAACCCTACAACCCTATAACCCCATAGCCTTATAGCCCTACAGCCCTGATAGCCCGTATAGCCCTAATAGCCGTATAGCCTTAGAGCCCCATAACCCCAACAGCACTATAGATTTATTGCCCTGTAACCCTATAGGCCTATAGCCCTATAGCCTTATAGCCCTGTAGCCCTACAGCCCTATTACCCTATAGCCTTATAGTCTTGTAGCCCGGTAGCCATGCAGCCCTATTACCCTATAGCCCTACAGCCGTATAGCCCTATAGCCCAGACGTCCTCCAGCCCAATACTTAGCCTCATAGCACTTATAGCTCTATAGCCCCGTAGCCCTGTCGCGCTATAGCCCTATAGCCCTATAGCCCTATACCTCTATAGCCCTATATACGTACAGCCTCATGGTCCTATAGCCCTATAGCCCCATAGCCCTAAAATTATGTTGATTGTTTTTTTTTTTCCCTGGTATTGTAAGGACAATGTTTGCATGAGGAGGAGAATGACGATGATGATGAGGATGATGATGAAAATGATGATGATACTGATGCTGCTTATGATGATGACGATGCTACTGGTAATGACGATGATGATGGCGATGATACTGATGATGCTGATCATGATCATGACGGTGTTGTTTACGCTGGTGATGCTGATGATGCTGGTGACGGTGATGCTGATGATGATGATACTGATACGGATAATGACGATGATGATGCTGATGATGATTTTGATGATGATCATGATGCTGATGATGATGACCACGATGCTGATGATTATGCTGCTGACGATAGTGATGCTGCTGATGATGCTGCTAAGCATGATGGTCATACTCATGATGTTGATGACTATGATGATCATGCTTATGATGACGAAGGTGATGGTGATGACGGTGATGATGATGACGATACTGATGATGATGATGATGATGATGATGGGGATCATGATGACGATGATGATGACGACGATGATGATGATGAACATTATGATGATGATAGCGATGGAGATGATGGTGATGATGGCGATGATGATGATGGCGATGATGAGTATGATGATGATGATGATGATGATGATAGTGATGACGGTGGTGGTGGTGGTGACGATGATGATGCTGATGATGATGATGGTGATGATGATGGTTGTGGTGGTGGTGGTGGGTGATGATGATGGTGATGGTGATGATGATGGTGATGGTGATGCTGCTGATGATGATCATGATGAGGAAGAGGATGAGGATTTGGATGAGGATTAGGATGAGGCTGAGGATGAAGATGATGATTATGATGATGATGATGATGCTGATGCTGATGCTGATGCTGATGCTGATGATGATGATGATGATGATGATGATGGTGTTGATGATGGTCATGATGATGATGCTGATGATGATGATGATGATGCTGATGATCATGATGCTGATGATCATGATGGTGATGATGATGATGATGATGATGATGATGATGATGATGATGATGATGATGATGCTGAGGAGGAGGAGGAGGAGGAGGAGGAGGAGGAGGATGAAGAGGAACGAGAAGGAGTGACAGGAAGAGGAGTGATAGGATGTGGAGGAGGAGGAGAAGGAGGAGGAGGAGGAGCGATGACGAGATGAGGAGCGAGGAAGAGGCGGAGGAGGAGGAGTGACAGGAAGAGCGAGGCTGCGACAGCCGACGCCTTCCGCCTCATGACGCACGCCAACGTGCTCCTGGCCGGGGGCAGCGACTTCTCGAGGCCACCGTGCTCGGGGGGGTTTTCGGCGCGGGGGGCCGAGAGATTCCACTCTGGCGACCCCAGGAGGAGGAGGACGAGGAGGAGGAGGAAGAGGAGGAGGAGGAGGGGGGGAGGAACACAGGAAGGAGAAGGAGGGGGAGGAGGACGAGGTGGGATGCTGTTATTGTTGTTGTTGATGATGATGTGTATGAGTCTGATACTGATGATGATGATGATGCTGATGATGATGATGATGATGATGATGATGATGATGATGATGAATAAGATGATGATGATGATGATGATGATGATGATGATAAGGATTACGATGTTGCTGCTGATGATGACGATGATGCTGATGCTCATGCTGATGGTGCTGATGATGACAAGGAGAACAAGGAGAAGGCTGATACGCATGCTGATGGCGATGATGGTGATGCTGATGATGATGATGATGACAATGATTATGATGATGGTGATGGTGGTGATGGAGGAGGTGGAAGAGGAGGAGGACTAGTAATACAAGTTGAATGGGATATGGTGACAACCATGAGGAGGGTCAAGCGGGTGATAATGCATGACGCTGACGACGACCTCGATGAAGATGATACTGATGCTGATGCTGATGCTGTTGATGATGGTGGTGATGATAATGATGCTGATGCTGATGATGGTGCTGATGCTGCTGCTGGTGATGATGCTGATGATGATGATGATAGTGATGATGATGACGACGAGTGTTATGCTGATGATGATGGTGACCACGATACTGCTACCGAATATTTTGATGGTGATGATGATGAGGATGATGATGACGATGAGAATGAGGATGACGATGATTACTCTGATAATGCTGATGATTCTGATGCTGACGATGATGATGATGATGATGATGATGATGATGATGCCGATGATGATGATGATGATGATGATGATGCTGATGATGATGATGCTGATGATGATGATGATGATGATGCTGAGTATGCTGCTGATCATGATTACGATTCTGATGTTGATGCTGATTATTATGATGATGATGAGACGGATGATCATGATGTTGCTGCTGATGATGACGATGCCGATGATGGTTTTGGTCCGTGATGGCAGTTGTGTTGGTTGTTTCTGACGGTGGTGGTGATTATCATGTTTTTGTTTATGACGGTGATCATGATGAAGGTTTTTGATGATGATGCCTTTAGTGATGGTGATGGTGATGTTGATGTTGATGACGATGATGACGATGATGATGATGATGATGATGATGATGATGATGATGAGGATGCTGCTGCTGATGATGATGATGATGATGAGGATGCTGCTGCTGATGATGATGCTGATACTGCTGACAACGAGTTTTCAAGCCATGAGGATGATGGTTCTGGTGATTATGATGATGATGAGGATGATGATGACTATGATGATGATGATGATGATGATGATGATGATGATGATGATGGTGGTGGTGGTGGTGGTGTTGGTGATGATGATGACGATGATGATGATTATCATGATGATAATCATTGTGATGATGATGATGATGATGATGATGATGATGATGAAGATGAAGATAACGATGATGACGATGATCAGGAGGAGGAGGAGTAGGAGGAGTAGGAGGAGGAGAAATAGTAATACAAGGAAGAGAAGGAAGGATGAGGACAACGAGTAGGATGGTAAGGGGGTTGATAATTCATGACGATTGCGAAGACGTCGATGATCACAACGATGATGATGATTATGATTATGATGATGATGATGATGATGATGATGATGATGATGATGATGATGGTGATGCTGACCGAGATGATGATGATGATGATGATGATGATGATGATGATGATGATGATGGTGGTGGTGGTGGTGGTGATGATGATAATGAGTGTGATGGTGATGGTGATGATGATGATGGTGATGATGACGATGATGATGATGATGATGATGGTGGTGATGATGATGATGATGATGATGATGATGATGATGATGATGATGATGATTGTGGTGTTGGTGGTGGTGGTGGTGGTGGTGATGATGATGATGATGATGATGATGATGATGATGATGATGATGATGATTGTGGTGGTGGTGATGATGATGACTACTGCTTGTAATGATTGCAGTGGCCATGACTATAGTGATTGTGAAGAAGATTACCTTCATGGGGAGGAGGAGGAGGAAGAGGAGGAGGAGGAGGAGGAGGAGGAGGAGGAAGTTGAGGAGGAGGCGGAGGATACGGAGAAGGATACTGAGGTCTATGGCCCACTCGAAGTTCTGAGGGGTCTCATGCGGGGCCGTGTGATCGTGCAGGGCTCCGGAAGGGGAAGGAGGATGTGAGGCGCAGGGGAAATTGTGCGGCTGGAATTCGAGGGGTGAACGAACTCTGCGCGACCCCAAACCTCAGTCCGAGCAGCTTTCCAAGAAGCACGCATGGGAGCGAGGCGGAGGAGCAGGCTGGGCCGTCCAATGGTGTTCGCGGCTCGGTCGGTTCGGCTTCGTCGCATTCGGCTGCGTGCGGTCGGTTCGGTTCGGGCGGTTGCCGCGTCGGTGCCGCGTCGCCGCGCCCTTCCAGCCTGCCTGCGGCCTATCGGTTTCGGTCGGATTCGCTTTCGCTGTCTGTTCGGCCGGTTTGCGGTCGGGCCGTCGCCGCGGACCGGGCGGGGCCAGGACAAGGATAGATCCGTTCCAGAGCGTTCCGTAACGCTCTCAGATCGGTCGGGGACGCCTTGAGAAGGTCGCGGCACCCGAGACGTTGTCCAGAGCCGCTGGCTCTCAGAGATTCTTGATGTATCCTCACCCGATATTTATCCTCGGCCTGGCTTCCTCTTGTGTCGCTGTGGACGGCCTTGCCGTCCCGATCGCCAGCTGCACCGAGGTTCACTCGGGTCATGGCTTGGTCTGCCCCGAGAGCGCCGCGGGGAGCGGACCTGGGCGGAGGAGCATGGTTTTCGGGTAGGGAAGCTGGCGGAGGAGGAGCAGGTGGAGGAGGAGGAAGAGGAGGAGGATGAGGAGGATGAGGAGGAAGAGGAGGGTGCGAAGTTCCCACCCTCCTCCTCCTCCACCTCCTCGCCCTCCTTCTCCTCCGCCCTCTCCTCAACCCTGAAAGCCTCTCTCTCTCTCACACTTCCCACCCATTGGGACGGGTGAGAAGGCGGTTGTTGTGGATCGCGCTCGACGCAGGTGCAGCCAAGGAGAGGTCACTTCCGTCGGACTCGGGGTCAGAGTCCACTCCCGATCCGTCGCGACGGGCTCTCTCTCTCCAAGAGCCCTGGCACGCGGCAGGTCGCTCTCCTCGAGGAGACCCAAAAACGCCTGCAGCACCGTCTCCCGCGGAGAGGGCGAGAAGGGAGGGGCAGGAAGATTGGCAGGAGGAGGGGCAGGAGGAGGATGAGGAGGGGCACGATGGCGATGATGGTGATGATGACGATTTCGGTGGTGCTGGTCGTGGTGATGGTCGTTGCGACGGCGATGGTGGTGGTGGTGTTGATGCCTCCGAGGCTCGCCGCCGTGCTCGCGCGCAACACTTCCGCCGTGTTCGTGCAGGACTTCCAGAACTCCGTGGCCCGCGGGGGAGGGGATCTGCGGCAGAGCGCGCTCAAGTCTGAGGCGGAAGGGGGGGGTGAGGAAAGTTCGTCACTCCTCGGCGGGGGAGGGGATCTGCGGCAGAGCGCTCTCAAGACCGAGGCGGAAGTGGGGATCAGGACAGGGCTGGACCTGAACGCTGTTTTGCTGGACTTTGGCCGTGTTTTGCTCTCCGTTTTGGGAGGGAGGTACAGGAAGACGGGCAGAGCAAGACGAACAACAAAACGAAAACAAAACGAAAAACAGCGTTTAGGTCCAGCCCTGGGGAGGAGGACGTGGCTGATGCGGAGGAGGAAGGGCGCTGCCCTAGTATCAGGAGATCGCAGGCATGGATCAATGGGGGCGTGGACTAGCGACGGGTCCCGCTTCCATGGGAAGTCGCGGATTTCCGCCGCCGAGCGAGGCGGCACAGGCCGCATTTTGGGGAGGGCACTTCCCCCGATCTATGGATTTGGCGACCGCGCGCCAAAGCCATGGATCGCTAATCCATGCTTGCGCGCCCCCAAGAGGAAGGGGGCTGCTTCAACAAACTTCGTCGCTCCTCGGCGGTTTTTCCGGCCCCGGGGTGCCTTCCAGCATCTGCGCGTCGCCGAGAGCAGTCTCCAGGGATGCCGGAGCCGTCCCGCAGGGCCGCCAGAGGCTCGAGAACCCGAACCGACGACAGCCCGAGGTCCTCCTCCTCCAGGAGGCGGCGGCGGAGGAGGAGGAGGAGGAGGAGGAGGAGGAGGAGGAGGAGGAGGAGGAAGGATGAGGAGGAGGGCGGAGGAGGAGGAGGAGGAGGAGGAGGAGCAGGAGGAGGAGGAGGAGGAGGAGGGAGGAGGAGGAGGAGGATGAGGAGGAGGAGGAGGAGTCCTCCTCCTCCTCCTTCGCCGTGGCAGAGGAGGAATTCCTCCTCCTCCGCCACGGCGAATCGCTGTCTGGGATAGTCGCAGTCTCACGCCGTGGCCCTCACGTGCCACAGAAGGAGGTGGGGTCCTCTCAATCACCAGGGTTCCTCCTCTCTCGCCGCTTCCTCTCTGCTCGTGCTTCGGCGGCGGTCGAGGGGGGGGGGGAAGTTGGGAAGTTACTCCAGATTTCGTAATAAAAGGGAGGGGGTCTGGACCCTCCAAGACAAGCCATTTCAGACCTCCCCCGTGGGAGAACCCTCCAAAACATCGTCCCCAGACCCCCCAGGCCCTCCAAGATAGCCTGGAAGAGACCCCCCCCCGAAATGAGACCCCCCTCCCTTTATTACGAGATCTGGAGTAGAAGGAGAGGGCAGAAGGCCTTCTCAGAAGACGGCGGGACTTCTCAAGAAGCCGTCGCGCCTTCTCAGCAGCTTCTCTCTGTCTTGGGGGAAGGCTTCGGACATTTCTCAGAAGGCCGGGGGACCTCCGAATCTTCTGTGAAGGCCCGCCCCTTCTCACTTCCCCCCTCTCTCGCCGCCGAGAGCTGTTGTCCTCATCTTCTTTTGAAGCGCCGTCGGACGTCTGGGTCCATCCCTCCTCCCTTGCGTTCCGCTCGGGCGCGCGCTTGCCAGGTCAAGAACGCGAGGTTTTCGCGCCAGTCCCTGGAGTACCTGCCGAACCGAACGTCCCTGCCGCTCAAGGACCTTAAGGCGGAGAAGAGGAGGTGGAAGAGGGGGAGGAACAAGAGGGGGAGGAGGTGGAGAAGAAGAGCATGAGGAGGAGGAAGAAGGAGGAAGAAGGGGGAGGAGGAGGAGGAGAAAGAGGAGGAGGAGGAGGAGGAAGAGGGACAGGACTAGGAGAAAGAGGAGGAAGCAGAAGAGGACGATGAGGAGGAGGAGGAGGAGAAGGCGGAGGAGAAGGGCGAGGACGGCGGATGGAGGAGCAGAAAGGAAGACGAGAAAGCTGCGGCCCGCCCGGCTGACGAGCTGGCCAGGAGGGCAGCCGACCCCGAGCGTTCTTTGGGGCCCCGGTGCGCGGGGGAGCGCTGACACCGGCACCGCGGCAGCCCGCGTCTTGCTCGCGTGCGCCGCCACCGTCATCGTCCACGGAGGTGGGCATGAAGCGATTTGGTCGACGGTCTGAAGATGGACGGACTTTGACGGATAATGATGATGAATGATGGTGATGATGATGGTGATGATGACGATGGTGATGATGACGATGGTGATGATGATGATGATGATGATGATGACGATGATTATGATCATGATGATGGTGACGATGCTGATGCTGATGACGATCACGATGCTGATCATGATGATGATGATAGTGATGATGATGATGATGATGACGATGATGATGATGGCGAGGGTAATGGTAGAAGAGATGATGATGATGATGTTGATGATGATGATGATGATGATGATGATGACGACGACGACGACGACGATGATGATGATGATGATGATGATGATGATGATGATGATCATGATGATGCTGCTGCTGATGATGACAGTGATGATGACGAGGAAGATGATGTTGATGGTGATAGTGGTGGTGAGGATGACGATTGTAATAATGTTGGCGATGATGGGGATTATGACGATGATGCTGGCGATGGATGTGGTGGTGATGATTGTGATGACGGTGACGACGATGATGAGGAGTCTGACGCTGGTGCTGTTCATGGTGGTGGTGGTGATTGCGATGATGTCGACGACGATCATGATTTGCACGATCACGATGATGCTGGATTCTGACCATCCTGGTGATGGTGGTGTAGGCGACGATAGTGATGATGATTTTGATGATGATGATGACGTCGATGATGATGATGATGATGATGATGATGACGATGATGATGATGATGATGATGATGATGATGATGATGATGATGATGATGATGATGATGCTCATGATGATGATTATGATGATGATGATGATGGTGATGATGATTGTGATGATGTTGCGGATGCTGGCGATTAGGTTGGTGGTGGTGGTGTGATGACGGCGATGATGACGACGGCGATGATGGCGATGATTCTAGTGTTGGTGGTGGTTGGGATGATGATGGTTTTGATGACGATTACGATGATGCCGACGACGATGATGATGATGATGATGATGATGATGATGATGATGATGATGATGATGATGGTGATGATGATGATGCTTGTTGTGTTGGTAGTGATGATGGTAGGTATGGTGTTGACGGCGATGAGGATGTTGACGATGATCTGATGGCTGTGATGAGGTCGACGATGGTGATGCTGAAGATGAAGATGATGCTGATGCTGATGACGATGATGATGCTGATGATGATGGTGATGATGATGATGATGATGCTACTGCTGATGAGGATGATGAGGATGCTGTTTTACCTATTATTTCCATTCTGGTTATTATTATGGTGCTGATCGTGCTAATGCTGACGATGCTCATGACGATTTTTTTTCGTTCATCCGATGCTGATGGTGATGGTGCTGCTGCTGCTGCTGATGATGATGATGATGATGACGATTGCATGCACGACGATGGCGAGGATGATGACAATGATGCTGGCGATGGTGGTGGTGATGGCTGTGATGGTGATGGGGATGATGATGCTGCTGATGATGATGATACTTCTGATGACGACGAGGATGGTAACGATGATGCTGGCGATGGATGTGTTGGTCAAGACGGTGATGACCGTAGTGATGATGATACTGATGATGCGCATTCTCAGGTTGATGATGAGCTGCTGGCCGTGATGTTGGTGCTGATGATGAGGGCGACGCCGAGTATGCTGATGACTATGACGATTGTGCTTGGTTACTGTGGGGAGGTAGCGGTGATGACGATCAGGATGATAACGATGATACTGGTGGTGGTGATGGTACATGATTACGAAATCGACGATGACCATAGTGACCACGATGGTGCTGGTGATGGGGGTGGTGGTGATGGCTATGAGAATGGTGCTAATAAGGGCGACGACGATGACGAAGATGATGACGATGCTGCTAGTGATGATGGTGGGTGTGATCATGGGGATCATGATGAGGATGATGACTACGACGATGGATGATGATTACAGTGATGCTTGCGATAGTGATGGTGGTGGTGGTGGAAGTGATGGTGGTGATGACGATGACAACGACGGTTATAATGACAGCGATGATGCTGGTGCTGTTGGCGGTAATGATGGGTGTGATGGTGATAATGCTCATGCTCATGACGATGCTGATAGTGATGATGATGATGGTGATGGTGATGATGATGATGATTCTGATGATGATGATGATGATGATGATGATGATGGTGACGATGACGATCATGCTGACTATGTGACAAACATATGTGGTTTTGTTAATGGTTAGTTGATACTTGTGATGATGATGACGACAACGATGATGATGAGGATACCGATTATGTTGATGATGGTGGCGGTTGTGGTGACGATGGTGGCGATTTTGCTTAGAATGACGACGCCGAGGCGGATGATGACGATTATGCTCGTGATGGTTGTTGTGGTGATGATTATAGCGGTGATGATTATCATGATGGTGAGGACGATGACGAGAGGGATGATGACGATTCTGCTTCACCGAGCGCGTTCCGCGACTCCAAAAGTTCCTATTCGCAAGCGTCCGGACAAAAAGAGGTCTTCCTATTTGTAATGGATCGTAAATCCCCCTCGGCGGATCCAGGCCATTTGCGAGTAATCATTTTGCGAGTAGTGGAACGCGCTTGCCCAATGGTGGTGGTGGTGATGATGGTGACGATCAGGATGATGAAGGTGGCGATGATGATTGCTGCTGGTTAGTATCGTATCGACATGACGATGGCGTTGACGATGATGCTGGTGGTTGTGGTTGGTGTGATGATGGTTGGCATGATTAGTATGATGATGGTCATGGTGGGAAGCATGACTACAGTCATGCTTGCGATGGTTGTTGTTTATGGAGAACGTGGTTGTGATGAGGATCGTGGCGATGACCAGGATTAGGATTATTTTGAGGTTGGGTATGCTGATGACGATAATAACGGCGGCGATGCTGGTATCGATGACATTGGTGATGGCAGACGTGTTGACGATGGTTGTGGTGGTGGTGTTGATGATGATGATGATGATGATGATGGTGATGATGATGATGATTATGACGATGATGATGATGATGATGATGATGATGATGATGATGATGATGATGATGATGATGATGATGATGATGATGATGATGGTGATGATGATGATGATGATGGTGATGGTGATGATGATGATGATGATGATGATGATGATGATGATGATGATGATGATGATTGTGGTGATGGTGGTGGTGATGAGGAGGCGGAGGAGGGAGGAGGAGGGAGGGGGGAGGGAGAGCCCCAGGGAAGAACGAGGAGTAGGTCTGGGAGCTGAGCGAGCAGGCACCTCGCACGGGGGCGCCACGAGCCCTGGCGCCGTGAGGCCATGGGCCCAAAGATCCAGCGGAACAAGGCGCTGAGGAGCCTGGCAAAGGCCTGCCTGGACATGCCAGCGAAGGCGAAGGACTGGCGGGGGGGGGGGAGGACGTGGCCGATGCGGAGGAGGAAGGGGGCTGCTCTAGCATCAGGCGACCGCAGGCATGGATCAAGGGGGCGTGGATTGGCGACGGGTCCCGTTTCCATGGGACATCGCGGATTTGCGCCGCCGAGCGAGGCGGCACCGGCCGCGTTCTGGGGAGGGCACTTCCCCCGATCCATGGATTTGGCGACTGCGCGCCAAACGCATGGATCGCTAATCCATGTTTGCGCGCCCCCAAGAGGAAGGAGGCTGCTCCAGGCCGTCTTGTGGGCTCCCGTTTCAGTTGGGTTCTCGTTTTGGCTCCGCCGCGCCGCGCCCCACGTTTTTCTCGACTAACTCGTTCCCCTCTTCGTTCCTCTGCTCTCCGCGTGTCCATGTCGGCAGACCCCTCACACGTGTCGTGGCCCCATTGGGGAGCTCACCCTACGGTCTCCTTGGGCGCGACCGCGTGGCATACGCGCTCCCAATTTGGTACACCCCTCACAGGTCTCGCGGCCCCACACTGCAGGGGAAAAAAACATTACATTACAGGAAAAATCGTTTCGATAATTATTTCTGCGCCATGTAAAGACGTCAGCGGGGTTGAATCCTCCCCAATTCCCAAATCCTCCCCAACTCCTCTTTTTTCCTTTGTAAAATCCCCCCCCGTTCCCAAATCCTCCCCAACCTCCCTATTGTTCCTTTGTAGAATCTTCTCCAATTCCCGAATGCCCCACAATCCCCTTCATGTTTCCTTTGTACAATCCTTCCCAATTCCCAAATCCTCCCCAACTCTTCCTTCTCCTTTGCGGAATCCTCTCAAATTTTCCTTTGTAGAATTCTCCCCGATTCCCAAATCCTCCCCAACTCTTCCTTTTCCCTTTGTAGAATTCTCCCCAATTCCAAAATCCTTCCCAACTCTTCCTTTTTCCTTTGTAGAATCCCCCCCAATTCCCAAATCCTCCCCAACTCTTCCTATTTTTTCCTATTCTCTTGTAGAACCCCCTCCAATTCCCAAATCCTCCCTAACTTCTCCTTTTTCCTTAGTCGAATCCGGCACAATTCCAAAATCCTCTCCAACTCCTCCTTTTTCCTTTGTAGAATCCCTCCCATTTTCCAAATCCTACCCAACTCCTCCTTCTTCCTTTTTTATAATCTTCCCCAATTCACAAATCCTCTTCAACTCATTGTTTTTCCTTTGTAGAATCCTGCTCAATTCCAAAATCCTCCCCAACTCCTCCTTTTTCCTTTGTAGAATCCTCCCCAATTCCCAAATCTTCCCCAACTCTTCCTTTTTCATTTGTAGAATCCTCTCCAATTCCCAAATCCTCCCCAACTCCTTTTTTCCTTGGTAGAATCTTCTCCAATTCCCAAATCCTCCCCAACTCCTCCTTTTTCCTTTGTAGAATCCTCCTCAATTCCCAAATCCTCCCCACCTCTTCCTTCTTCCTTCTTGTAGAATCCTCCACAATTCCCAAATCCTCCCCAACTCATTTTTTGTTTTCTTTTTTAGAACCATCCCAATTCCCAAATCCTCCCCAACCCCTGTGTAGATTCCTTCTCAATTGCCAAATCCTCCCCAACTCCTTTTTCCTTTGCAGAATCCTCCCCAATTCACAAATCCTCCCCAACTCCTTTTGCGGAATCCTCACAAATTCCCAATCGTAGAATTCTCCCCATTTGCCAGATCCCCTTCATTTTTTTGTTGTTGTAGAATTCTCCCCAATCCCCGAATCCTTCCCAACTCCTTTTTTTCCCTTTGAAGAATCCTCCCCAAATCCTCCCCAACTCCTCCTTTTTTTGGTTCCTTTTTAGAATCCTCCACAATTCCCCAAAAACTCCCCAACTTCCTCTGTTTCCTTTGTAGAATCCTCCCCCAACTCCCAAATCCTTCCCAACTCTTCCCAAATCCTTCCCCCATTTCCTTTGTAGAACCCCCCCCAATTCCAGAATCCTCCCCAACTCTTCCTTTTTTCCTTTTGTAGAATCTTCCCCAATTCCGAAACACTCCCCAACTCCTTGCTTCTCCTTTGTAGAATCCTCCACTACCCCCACATCTTCCCCAACTCTTCCTTTTTTTTCTTTCTGTAGAAACACCCTCAATTCCAAAACCTCCCCAACTGCTCCATTATCCTTTGTAGAATCCTTTCCAATTCCCAATTCCTCCCCAAATCCTCCTCCTTCTTTCTGTAGAATCCTCCCCAATTCCAAAATACTCTCCAACCTCCTTTTTTTTTCCTTTGTAGGCTCCACCCCAATATCCAAATCCCCCCCGATTCCTTTCATGTTTCTTTTGTGGACTCCTGACCAATCCCCAAATCCTCTCCATTTCTTCCTTTTCCTTTGATGAATCCTCCCCAATTCCCAAATCCTCCCCAACTCTTCCTTTTGCATTTTGTAGAATCCTTCTCAATTCCCAAATCCTCCCCAACTCCTCCTTTTTCCTTTGCGGAATCTTCCAAATTCCCAAACCCTCCCAACTTCTTCCTTCTTCCTTGGTAGAATCACCCCGGTTTCCAAATCCTCCCCAACTCCTCCTTTTTCTTTTGTAGAGTCCTCCCCACGTCCCAAATCCTCCCCAACTCTTTTTTTTCCCTTGTAGAACCCTCCGCAATTCCCAAATCCTCCCCAACTCTTCCTTTTTCCTTTGTAGAACCCTCCCCAACTCCCAAATCTTCCCCAACTCTTCCCTTTTCCTTCTTGTAGAATCCTCCCCAATTCCCAAATCCTCCCAAACTCTTCCTTTTTCCTTGGTAGAATCCTCCCCAACTCCCAAATCCTCCCCAACTCCTTTTCCCTTCTTGTAGAATCCTCCCCAATTCCCAAATCCTCCCCAACTCCTTTTGTTTCCTATGTAGAATCCTCCCGAAACTCCCAAATCCTCCCCAACCTCTCCAATTCCTTTTGTAGAATCGTCCCCGATTTCGCAAGCCTCCCCAACTCTTCCTTTTTCTTTTGTAGAATCCTCCCCAATTCCCAAATCCTCCCCAACTTTTTTTCCTTTGTAGAATCCTTCACACTTCCCAAATCCTCCCCAACTCCTTTGTTTTTTCCTCTGTAGAATCTTTCCCAGTTCCCAAATCCTCCCCAACTCCTTCTTTTCCTTTGTAGAATCCGCCCTAATACCCAAATCCTCCCCAGCGTCTTTTTTGTTCTTTGTAGAATCCTCCGCAATTGCCAAATCTTCCCCAACTCCTCCTTTTCTTTTTGTAGAATATCATCAGTTCCCAAATCCTTCCCAACTCCTCCTTTCTCCTTTGTAGAATCCTCCGCAATTCCAGAATCCTCCCCAACGTCTCCTTTTTTCATTTGTAGAATCCCCTCAATTCCCAAATTCTCCCCAACCCCTCTGTAGAATCTTCCACAATTCCCAAATCCTCCCCGACTCTTCCCTTTTCCTTTTGTAGAATCCTCCCCCATTCCCAAATCCTCCACAACTCCTCCTTTTTCCTTTGTAGCATTCCCCTTCACAATTCCCAGATCCTCCCCAACTCCCTTATTTCCTTTGCCTCCGCAATTCCCCAGTCCCCACCAACTCCTCCTTTTCCCTTTTTAGAACCCCCCCAATTCGCAAATCCTTCCCGATCCCTTTCCTTGTCTTTTGTAGAAATCCCCCCCCAATTCCCAAATCCTCCCTAACTTCTTTTTTCCTTTGTAGGATCCTCCCCCAATTCCCAAACCCTCTCCAGCTCCTTCTTTTTCCTTTGTAGAATCCCCACCAATTCCCAAATCCTCACCAACTTTTGTGTTTTCCTTTGTTGAATCCTCCCCAATTTTTAAACTTTCAGCAGCTCCTCTTTTTTTACCTTTTTGTTGAACCCTGCACATTTCCCACATCCTCCTCAATTTCTCCTGTTTCCTTTGACGAGTCCTCCCCAATTCCAGAATCCTCCCCAACTCCTTCTGTTTCCTGTTGTAGAATCTTCCCCAATTCCCAAAACCTTCCCAGCTCGTCCTTTCTCCTTTGTAGAATCCTCCCCAATTCCAGAATCCTCCCCACCTCCTCTTTTTTTCATTTGTAGAATCCTCCTCAATTCCCAAATTCTCCCCAACCCCTCTGTAGAATCCTCCCCAATTCCCAACTCCTCCCTAACTCTTCCTTTTTCCTTTTGTAGAATCCTCCCCTAATTCCCAATCCTCCCCAACCCCTCTTATTTTCCTTTGTAGAAGCCTCCTCAATTCCCAAATCCTCCCTTTTTTTCGTATGTAGAATCCCCCCCAATTCCCAAATCCTCCCCAACCCCTCTGTAGAATCCTCACACGTTCCCAAATTCTCGCCAACTCCCCCTTTTTCCTTTGTAGATCCTCTCCGATTCCAAAATCCTCCCCAACCCCTCTCATTTTGTTTTGCAGAATCCTCCCCATTTCCAACCCCACCCCCACGTACGCCCATTACATTACAGGACACATCATTCTTGGAATTAATGCTGTACTATTACGAGGACGCCATGCGCAAGCGCCCACTGAGACCGTAGGTAGAGCTCCCTATGTGGCGGGGGGGGCGCGCGCGCCATAAGAACGCGCACGCTGAGACCGTAGGTAGAGCTAGCTCCCTACTGTTGGGGCTCGCCCCTAATCTGGCACACCCCTCACTCGTCTCGTAGCACCCTAGCGAGGCCAACTTCGGGTCTCAGTGGGCACCAAGGCGCCGCCGACATTGCTGCGCACCCTGCACACGTTTCGTGGCCTTACATGCAGCCCCGATTACCCCACTGCCAGGGTCCGCATGGCGGCGCCGTCCATGTCGGGACACTCCTCGGGAGGATCTTGGCCCCACAGGGAGCTCCACCCACGGCCCCAGTGCGGGGGTGGGTCCGCATGGCGGCGCCGTCCATTTCGACGCACCCCTCACGAGGATCGTGGCCTTACAGGGAGCTCCGCATACGGCTCCATTGGGGGTGGGTCCAGCGCCGATCCAATACATGTGCGCGGATCTCCGAAAGTCTATGTTTATGCTGATGTCTTTTTTTTCTATTCCCTCTCACGCCTTTTGGTTCCTTCCCCTC